TACCACGCCCGGCTGATTTTTTGATTTATTGTAGAGATGACGTCTCGCCAAGTTGCCCAGGCGGGTCTTGAACCCTCGGGCTCAGGCAATCCACTCACCTCAGCCTCCCAAAGCACAGGATTACAGGCTGAGCCACCGAGCCCAGCTAGCTTTCAGAGTTTAAATGAGAATTAAATTACAAATGCATTCAGAAACACCTAGCATAATGCTTGGTAATAACCAGTAGATTAATGAATCTCAATCTTGAATTTAAAAATATTTAACCTAAATGCTTAAATTTATTTTTCTAAGTGCTATTTCTTCCCCTTACAAGTCAAATTGTTTTTATGCTGAAATCTCCTAACTAGTTAAAGTCTTTGTGTATAAGAATTTAACCTCAAATAAAACAAAACAAAACAAAACACTGTTTGGGAATGTTTTATTAATCCACTGGTATGCAATATTCCTATGTATATATAACATAAAACTATTCAATCTGTGAGACTACAGCCATATTGGAATGAAGGTACTCTAATAATTCATTAGTTAATTCTCTTTGGTATATCTCAAGATTGTAATTCCAATTCTACTTTATAGAGTGACGCTAAAGAAATTTTAGCACATGTTCAGAATAATCATGAGTTAATTAATACAAAATTATTTTAAATTCTTTTATCTAATAAATTTTCATCCACTTTTAAAGTTAGTAATCACCAGCCAGTTTAGTGTCAATACCAATGAAACACAAATGTTAGGTTTGAAAGTTATATCACAGTGATTCCCAATTCTATACCAACCAACTGTTACATTTAATAGGTTGGTGATGATCTCTCTTAACTAATTTCACTAAGGTGTATGGATTTTCTATCATCCACTGATACACAACTGTACATACAGAGGTTTGAAACTGCCAGCAGTACTATTTGAATTAAAGCTTTCTAGAAAAATCATAAAGGTTCTTAGACACTCTATCAAGGAAACATTGGCTTTTTAAATTAATTTGGACATCAACAGTTTCACATATGCTATTCACCAGTGGTAAAAATGTTTATGCTTCCTCTTCTATCTTTATCTTTGTCTGCTAACAGTCTGAATAACATAAATTACATTCCCCCAAGCACTGTCTCTTTTAAGCCATTACACAGCAATCCTCACATATATTTTATGACATAAGTTAAATACTACTATTTATTACTATAAAGCAATTCACCACAACATAGCAATGCAAACCAAACTTATTGAAAATGCTAAATGTGGTTATTCTAAATTACAGCTCTGTTGCAAAATTTAACTTAATTTTGCAAAAATCGGGCATTCATGCTGTTTACTCATATATAAATCACCATATTTCCTCTCCAGTAATGTGGATACTAACTTTGTCACTTGTTTTTTCTGCAAAGAGAAAAGTATTTTAAAATATTACCACCACATCTTTTTTTTAAAAAAATCTTCCAAGGTCAGCTTCCTCAAAATACCACACAGGAACTGTTAGAAGAAATTGCAGCCCAACAAAATTGAAATTAATGTAGGATATTAAAAGACTTACCTCTTGAAAGCAGTGGCACATTATAATGCAAGGATATATGGAAAAGGAGAAGGTAAGTCACTGAAGCTACTTAATGCAAAACAGCTTTCCTTTCAGTTTCAAATATAAAGTCCCATTTTGCTCTTAGTAGGGTTAGGAGAGAAGTAAGGAGGACAGTCAGCCATAACCAATAATTTGCATATGTAGAAGAAAAATTTTTAATTTCTTATGGCTAGGTATAGTAGCTCACACCTGTAATTCCAGCACTTTTGGAGGCCAAGGCGGGAAGATCACTTGAGCCCAGGAGTTCAAGACAAACCTGGGCAGCATAGCGAGATTTTGCCTCTACCAAAAAATTTTTTTTAATTTGCTAGGCATGGTGATGAGTGCCTGTTATCCTAGCTACTGGAGAAACTGAGGTGGGAGAATCACTTGAGCCCAGAAGTTCGAGGCTACAGTGAAGTATGATAGCACCACTGCACTCTAGCCTGGGTGACAGAGTGAAATCCTGTCTCTCTCTCTTTTTTTTAAAATTAATTAATTATTTATTATTATTATTTTTTAAAGGTGTTAGGCATAGTGGTTCAACCTTGTAATCCTAACACTTTTGGAGATCAAGGTAGGATGATCACTTGAACCCAGAAGTTCAAGACCAGCCTAGGTAATAATGAGACCTCGTCTCTACAACAAATTATTTTAAAAATTAGCCAGTGGTGCATACCTTGAGACCCACCTACTCAGGAGGCTGAGGAGAGAGGATCACTCTTGGGCTGCAATGATCCATTATCGTACCACTGCATACCAGTCTGGGTGACAGAGTGAGACCCTGACTCAAAAATAAATAAGTAAATAAATAAATACAATGTCGAATGCCTTAATTCTTACTTAACAAAGAAGGAACAGGAATGATTATATACTATTACTTTTAAATATTCTAAAAAATAACAACATCATCTAAAGATTTCATACATTGGGATAAATAGCTAATTATTTCTTAGTAGTGATGCCTTATTAACAAACACTTATTTATGTCTTATGTTCTATACAAATTTGGGTGGAATGTCCACCAAATTGGCAATTTAGCTATCCACTTTAAATCACTTAAATACTAATAGTACTACTGGTGCTTTGAGGAAAAAGACAACTTATGCATAGAACTTTATATTCTTCCAAACTCTTACATTTTTGTTCACTGGTATGTATCATTTTTAAAATAAAAAAGAATAATTGATTAAAAAGTAACTACTCAACTTTAGAAGAGTTTTGCTGCAGATGTTTTGCAACATTATAAAAATCTGGGAAATAGAATAGTAAAAAGTTTGACAGTGACTTCAGAAAGACAGCTTGACATCTGATGAACACAGAAAATGCATTCATCGATATCACAAAACACCTGTTCTTCAAAATGACACATCACTGCCTAGTAAAGTTGTGGTTTATTTTTTTATTTCTCTAATCTAAAAAGAGTGAGAGAGAGGGTACTGCAAATTTGTCTTAGAATTTCGTAGACACCGTATTTTATTTTCAGAGTAATCAAGTTTTCACTGCTCTAGCATCTGGACAAACATTTGAAATTAAGCTATTTTTAAATATACTCAGTTTGCAGATGCAAAGCAGTATCTTGCTTGTTAATGTTGCAAAATATGTAATAATTTCTTTTCTCCTTAATTTTGCACAGTGCTGGACAGCAGGCATGTGCTTAATAAACACTTGTTGATTGATTCAGAAGCCACAAAAAGACCATACAAAACTGACCAGTTTCAGTTCGAAAATAATAAGTTTCAAATCATTTCAGGATTTATCACCAAAGTAGTGCTTATAAAACACAAAGTTTAATCCTGAAATTTTCAGATATTCTAAATGCAGTACTTTTTCATAAACTCAATTTGCTGTACCTGTACAATTTTTCATTAAGAAGACTTTCTTATAAAATTTCAAGTGTTAGGAAAAAAGATTTTCATTAAGGCACTTCCTTCCATGGATGTTTTTCTACAGAACCTAGAATTTAATACACATAGCAAAACTTCTGTCTTAGTTTTCTATGTGGCTAGCATTGGACAGGCAGTGTCTTTCTTTTCAGAATATCTTTTGATCATGCTACAATTTAATGCCTTAAAATAAGCACTCAAAACAATTATAACCAAACACAACTCAATACTCCATACAGATCTCTTCCTCACATGAAAGGAAAAAATAACAATCTTTGAAGGACACCGGTCTTCCTCAATGTATACATCAAAACTTTAAAAAGCCACCCGCAACCATAAGACCATATGCACGGCCCAGTAGCTGCTCTGTCCAGAGCTCCTGCTCTTTCTCTCAGCAGCAGCCTGGAACCTAGCCACCTTCTCTTTCAAAGTCCTGAGGTTGCCATGGCAACAGAAAGCACAGACTCTTCATTACATGAATTAACATTCGGAAGGGATTATCTCAGAGAAAAGACCTACCCACACAATTATTTTAATTATATTTTTCCTGGGAACTGACATTGGTAAAAACCATCAGGCGTGCAGATTATTTCCCTTTGTTTTCCCTTTAAAGTACATTTTGTCACAATAAATCTGATCAAAATGACTTTACGTCAATGGGACTTTCCCTTAAAGTGTCATCACTGAACATCAAAAGGAATGAAATGACCATCAATAATTGAAAGTTGCTGAAAAATGTGTAAGAAAAATGTGCTGAAAGATGTGCAATCTTACAACTATGTGTGGTTCAGATAAATTAGTAACTTCAACCAATTTTTTAAAAAATGTGCCCAAAAAGGGAAAAATTATAAGGAACAGAGTTTTTAAAACGTCTGCTGCTATTATATATTTAGTGTCCATTGGTTTAAATTCACTCATTTAAAAAAAACTCTTCACAATGAAAATATTCTCTAATTTGCTTCTAATGCTAAGTATCCTTTGTTTTACTACCGCTTGCTTTTAAGGAATAAATTCTAACTTATCTGAAAAGAATGTTGCAATCTATGCTCTAAGCTAATGCTTCATACATAAACGTGGGTCAAAAGTGAACTGATTTTCTGTTTTCTTAAGACTACCTCCTAGAAACACAAGCTTTTACAAATTCCTTGTTTCCTTTCTCCTTAGGGTGAGATGCATACTGTAACAACAACTACAATCACTCTGTTTAAACTTTTGGTGGCCAAAAAAAGGATGGAAAAATTAAAGACGAAAGATTCAAGATTTACCTTGCATTATAAGTGCCAGCTGCTCAGTGTTGTGCCAACTCTTGGAGAAAAAAGAGTTACAGAGTATGTTATGTGGTTTATAAAATGTCAAAATGCATAATTAGGTTTTGATTAACCCATAATTGCTTTGCAAAAAGTGCCACATGTATGTAAGAGAAAGGCCACATGCTAATGAAGCAAATAAAACTTCATCTCCCTTCCTTCAAAGAACAGCTGGTTTGAGGGGGGGAATATAGATTGTTTCCTGGAAACTATCTGAAAGAAGAGTTTTGATGAGAGTAGAAAGCACCCTTATCCACCTACCCATTTTGCTGTTTACTGTCACCCTGGGATCCTCTTCTCTGTCCCTCTGCTAGCTCCTGAGCAGTCTCGGAACACATGCTGGTGACTGTGGGCTGCCGTGGGACATTAACTGCAGTTTTACCAGTGCTCAGTGCAGTTGAACACTGGTCAGCACTAAGATTGGCACTGGCATAAGCATGCAGTCCAGATGCAGCGAATGGGGGAGGAGTGATGACAGCCATGGGTGCAGGGGAAGCATGTGATGTAGTGGTCGCATGGGCTGGGGTGAAGGCAGACGATGGTGATGGAATGGATGTGACTTTTGGTGAAGACACAGAACCAAAAGGCCGTGGTGCCTTATTGTAGGCCATGTTGTTTGTGGAAATGACTTTGGACACAGCAGGAGAGGTAACGGGCACAGGTTTAACTACTTCTTTGGGTTCTCCCTATGTAAGATAAAAATAAACATATACAAAAACATACCAAACACATGCAAAATATATTTCACTAAAGAGAATACACAGCTCATTTTAAAAAAAGGCAAACACAATTATGTTAGCAACTCAAATGTTATGTTTCCAGATAAAAATGGTGAGTCAATATAGCATCACATACATGCTAACTAGTCTCAACATGCATAGCACAGATGCATACACTAATACAACTTTTTAAAATAAAAGTGAAGGGAGTTTCAAAATATTTAGGAAACAGTGCAGGAAAACTATCAGAAAGCCTAAAGGTCATCGTGTCAATTGAGGCATATTCCAAAGGAAAAACGTTAAAATATCTCATAATAAACAAACCATTGCTAGCTGAAATGCTTTTTATTTTAAAATATCCAGAGCCTCAATTATAATTCCATCTTTCAAACATGTTTATTTGCAGAGTGGAATTAGAAGCAGCAGCACATTTCTAGCTCTTCAATTAAAAAAACCACACACAGGGAATAAGATAATTTCCATCTACGTCAGAAATGTGCATACTCTAATTAATTATCTTGAATTTGAAAAAAACTTTAAAAAGCAAACAAATCAAAATCAATCCTTCTCTCCTATAATCCATCTCTGTTTCTCTCATTCTGAATGTTTTAAGATATGATTCAGAGATAGAATAAAAATGTTTCCCTTTTCCAAAATAAATTTTTAATAATTACATGGGGGGGGGAAAGATCTTCTATATTTCCTCATTGCCAACAGTCAAAGAAAAAATAACTAGTAAAAAAGGTCAATTTAAAATTATCTGGGCATGGTGGTGCAGCACGCCTATAGTTCCAGCTAGAGGAAGGATCACCTGAGTCCAGCAGGTCAAGGCTGCAGTGGCCGTGACCATGCCACTGTACTCCAATCTGGGCAACAGAGTAAAATTCCAACTCAAAAAAAAAAAAAAGTCCACTCTTCCTAAAATTACCAGATTTGTGTTTGCAAATCCTTATTCCAAAGCATGAAGTTTTAAAAAATTCAGGTTTAGCTTCTATGCCATTCAAGAATAAATCCCTACTCACCACCCTACCATCCCAAAAGAAAAATAAATGTATTTAAAGAATTCCTTTAAACCAAATTTTTAAGAAGGAGATGCTGTTATGATTAATTTCAAGAAAAAAAGATAATCAAAATTAATTGAAAACTAATTGGGAAAAATAATTAGCTTAATGTCAAATAAGAAAACTAATTGGGAAAAATAATTAGCTTAAAGTCTCCACAAATCAATACAGGCTGAGTATCCCTTATCCAAATAGCTTGGGACCAGATGTGTTTCAGGCTTCCTATTTTTTCAAGTTTTGGAATATCTGCAGAATATATGAGCATCCCTAATTCAAAAACCTGAAATCCAAAATGCTCCAGTAGGCATTTCCTCTGAGCAGCATGTTAGTGCTCATAACATTTGAGATTTGAGAGTATTTCAAATTTTTATTTCCAAATTAGGAATCCTCAATCTGTATAATGAGTAATTCAATGAAAAAGCACAAATAAAATTAGGACAAAATCCCAAAAAGCATAAACCAGATGTATATGAATAATGGCTTGGGACAATTTAATGAAACAGTTGAGGAGAAAAAGGTATTTGCCAATACCTTAATCCAAGAATATTCTGAAATGTAATTAAATACTTATTAACAAAATGTTATTAAGGATTTACTGTGATATGAATTTTTAGTAGCCACTTATTTATGTTCTCAGAAAAAACAAATAAAGATAGGTAAATTAAAAGTGAACAGAAATATAAGAAACTTGGATATAAGTTATTGATAATGTATGGTTTTAAAATAATGCTTTATTACATAGGTATAATTGCAACTAGTAATTCTGCATGCATTGATTTCCATTTTCTTCCTCATCTTTAAAGGAAAAGAACCATGAGGAATTAGTATTAACACTATAAATTAAATGTCAGTATGGCCTGAGACAGAAATGTGAATTACAGTGGCTCAGGAGGAATGATTGAATGGTACCTTAGTGATGCTAGATTAGAAATGTACCTTTTGAACAGGAACTGGCTCAGGCTTAGGTGTAGAAGATGCCCTGGAGGAAAAAAAAGAAGAAAAAATCATGAATTTTTGCAAACTTGCAGACTTCTTACTAATGGAATTTTTAGTACTATATACCTTAATGTACTAAATCAGAATGTACAGCTTTATAATTCATAGTTTTGACTGTTCATAAACTTATAATTATTCATGTAAATAGAATGCTGTAAGATACAATATTCTTACACAGTACTGGCAGTCTCTATTTGTTTACAAACTCAACTAAGGAATGACAAACACAATCCTGTTTCAAATGCATCCACATTTAATCTTCAAGACTGTTCTCCACCTAAAAGGATAGAGTATAATAAAAATGGTCTTCTAATCCTTGAGTGGCACCTCATCACCTAATCTGACTCTGTCTCCAATGTATGTTTCTTTTCTCCTAATGTCCATGAAGACCTATAGGATATTGAGTCTCTTTGTGAAGATGCTGAACACATTCTGGTTGAATTGGGTTCAGGAATAAGTACTTGTGTTTATATTCTTAAGCGCTTCTGCAAATTAATGTATTTGTTTTACTAAAACTAAAGTGTAGGTTCTTCCACAATGCTGTAATTTCAGTGAGAGCAATGTCCCTTTTATGTCTATATCTCAGCACAAAATCCATGCATACAACTTGCCTGCTTCAAAATTAAAATTAATTTTTATTTTTAATATATTCTTTTTTGTACCATACTATTACTGTGCCTTTGGTTAGCATGGGCTCAACAGTAACAATAGTTGGTTTGGAGTAAATATTGCATATAATCTTCACAATAGTCAAACTAAAAACTCTTATTATCCTCATTTTTAAGATGAGGAACTTCAAAGATAGAGTAAGCAGACAGCTTTAAGGCCCACAATTCTTATATATATATATAACAATAAACTGGCTGTATTCAAGGACAGTCATTTAATGATTGGGAAAGCTTCAAATGTTTTAAAGACTATTTACCTGATGTTAAGGTACATACTATGTTTCATATGCCAGAAGCAATTTGATTCTTATATCACACGAGTGAAGAATTCAAGAAATGTAAGCATATTGAGTAAATACTAAGTGATAATAATTTTAATCTACAAATCATGAAATCATTTTACTTATACAGACAACAGATCACAAATAGAGAACACCTGCAAAGGATATTGGGTCTCTCTATAAGTATAACCTACAATGAACTCTGATCCACATTTTTGGGAGCAACTGAATTTTCCATAACAACTAATTTGGTTAGCTATGGCAGGCAATAACTGACTAACCTAATGAGAGGCCCAATGAATGCTAATATTCAGTTACTGCAATATAGATTACGCTCTGTGCAGTTGCATAACTTTCCATGTGTACTCTCAAATAGACAATTTCTCTTTTAGCTTCTCAGATTATTATAACAAGCAAAGGAAACAAATTCAAGTAGAGAACAGTGGAATCTTCCTTTCACTGAAATTTCATAAGATGTAATCACAAAGATCTACTTATTAAAACCACCCAAGACACTACTGAAAGTTTGCCAAAATAGGGAGGATAGTGTCCTCTTTTCATCTGGATACCTGAAGTTATATGGAGGATTTTGAGCAACATAAAAACAATTTGTTAAAAGAAAAAAAAGAAGATAGTATGTAACAGTCATTAGGTATCCAAACTTAAAATGCATATAGCCTATGTCTATAAAAACAAATCCTTTTTTTTTTTAATAGGTTAGCTCTTATTTAGTAAGTTCTAGCAACAACAAATGCACCAGAATGATTAGTTTTCAGTTATTCTGGAGTCTCATCTCTTATTTTGTTGAAAAAAACATTCTAAAAAAATGAGTCCTAACATGCTTTATTAATTCAAAGTTCTATAAAAACATTACTTAAAATTTCAAATTCATAAAGAAATTTCTAAACCTAAAATTTGAATGTTTACTCTGCCTTCTGATAAAGTCTCACAAGTGCAGTGACATGCACTAATACAGTCGGGGAAAAGAGAGGTATCATGCCCTCAAAATTCCAGGGTTGGGTCCATTACACGTTAAAAACACAAACATTTTTTGTAGAGAAAAAATTAGGCTGGCTTATAATTAAATGTCAAATGAAATAGTCACCATTAGACACAGTAAAAATTAGTTCTCCTGGTTTAAATGTTTAAATAACCACCAAATGAGCCACAGAATCATTTGGAACTTAAAAAAAGAAAGTTCCTTAAAGCTATTTTATTACATGCCAATCAGGAGATTGTCTGACTTAGGTTTAAATATGTATAGAAGTTCACAACTTTAGCCATAAAAATTTTGAAACTTTCTTTTAAAATGGTCTTTTAGTAAGTTATTTTGCTTATTGGAGTAAACAGAAGAAATCAAGTTTTTTACATTAAAAATATTGGGGAAAAACATTTTAACACAGTATATGTATGTTCAGAAAATTTAGGATATATGAAAATGAAATCTATAAAGTTGATGAATAACAAAGATACTAAATTAAAGAAAGCAAATGTTACTAATTCTCAAAGAACAAAATAAAAAGATATACCACCTTTTCCTTATAGTTGTGTAAAGAATTTTTTTAATGTTAATACATAATGCTTGTGAGAATACTTTTATGATTATTCTTCTAGTGTTCAGGAAGAACTAAATATCAATATAGCTCGTTTGGAAAGCACTTTAACATTTATCTGTTAAAAATCTTGAAGAAAGCTCATGCCCTCTGACATAATAATCAAATTCTGGGAATCTATTAAAACAAAATAATCTTAAAAAGACAATAAAATATATAAAAGCAATATATAATATAAAATTAAAATATATCAAAAAGGAAAAAGACTTAATGACTAAAGATATTCATTCAATACAGTGTAATTTATAACAATGCAAAATTGGAACAAGGAAATGATTAACTATAATATAATCATATGATGAAACATTATGTAACAAAATCACACTTAGAAAACATTCTGCTTTGTATGATAAAATGCTTACTTTAGTATAGCAAGTGGAAAAAGATATAAAATAACATATATAGCAGGGAAAAAAATGAATGGAAATACACTAACACTTTAGAAGTTCTCTCTAAATGGTATTTATATTTTTTCTTTTGTGTGTGTGTGTTTTCCATATAACATACAATGTACACGTACTACTTTTTAAAATAATGAAGAATACTTCTCAAAGTATGTTTCATGCAAAATTACTATGAAAAAAAAAAAGTTTCTGTTATCAAACATAATCAGAAAAACATGGAGTTAAAGTTCCATAATAATCACAGGACTTCTTTGAAAATACTGTGGATTGCTGCCCATACTCATTTGAAGGAGAACTCATTATTTAGGAAATATTTCTTAAGACTGGATTTAGGAGGGGGGAAAACCCTCTGGGAAATGCTATTTTAAAGAAATATTTAAAGAAAGAACAAATCTTTGTCAAGTCTGAAATGTTTACTTAAGTCTCCTACAAGTGGCTAAAATTAAGAGAAATATATATTACAATACTTAAATTTTTCAAAACCTTTTGTTACATGAATTACCTTTCTTATCAAACTAGTGCTTTCTTGATCTTTATGTTTAAGATAACCAAAGACTCAGAACATAATTTAATCATTACTTAAGAGGAAAATCCTATTTCTTTCATTAAAGTAGAATATATATATTTCCAATATTGCCTGAGAAGAAAATCCTAATATATGATAAGAAAAATCATTTCTCAAAATTAAAATTGTTACAATTGTCTTTTTCTTTAGACAAATTTTAAGCATCTTTTACTTTAGCAATGTCATAGATTACATGAAAGCAAATAACTTTTAAAGGATGTTTAAATAAACAGTTTTAATAACTGAGGTATAATTATAAAAAATTATTTCAACATTTTTCTCTTCAAATCCTGGCAAATATATGATGGGATAACAGATCTCCCTTTGAACTGCAGTGACTGTCACAAGTCACTTTTGTACAGTGTCTGAGTTTCAAACCAGCAGAGTTCCTGGCAAAGGCTTAATGCCACAGGCTCAACAATGTGCTTATTGTTCTCTCCTCGTAGTGTGAAGCCACCGTACAGGAGAGAGCCATGATGGTGAGATACCAGTGTCGTATAGCCCAGTGCTACCCTCAGCTCATGAAATTCAATGAACAAAGTTCATCAGTGTGGCTAGAACAATCTATGTGAAGTTGATTGATTTTTGCAAAAGTAGTATCCAAAATAAAAATCTCTGATGCATTACAACCAGTTTCAGAATTTCTAGCTGAACAGCTGATAGGAGTTCTAAGTTATAATGGACTGTATTAGAGCTTCAATTGTGGTGCACCAGTTAGAATAACCTATAGGAAAAATAATGACACAAATAAACAGTAGCTCTATCAAGAATTCGACGAAAATGAATCAAGTACATTTATCTTTTGAATACCCAGCAAAAGGTGTTATAGTTAAGTTATACTTTTAACTAATGCATTTTCCTAATCGTGCTTTATACAATAACATGTTTTTTAGCTAATAAAATAGCCAGTGAATGTCCACATTACTGTTTAAGAATGAGGAATTAGGCATCAGAATTAGACTGATAAAGATTATTCATATTACTCATGATGTCTTGGTGACTCCTTCAACTATATCTAATGTACTTCACTCATAAACAATCATTTTTAAAAAGGGTGTTTGGTTCATCTTTTATGAGATGAGCGCTTATCTAAGTTTCCCACAGTATGGCCATCTTTGGACCCAATGACCTTAGGACCCATAAACACCAGGGTACATCATTAATCACTTTAATTGCAAAGTTGTCAATTTGCAATAACAAAGCAACTCCAGGGGGAAAAAAAGTGAGCACTCAAGAGTGCAGAAAGATGTCTCTTTAAACACTTTCCCTATACTTCATTGCACATTCAGTTAGGCTAGTGTCCCAAAAACTCAAACGTTAAACAGTTCAATAACAATGGCAATATATCAGTAGCTTTTCCCAAATGATTTGAGCATACATTAAGTTTTCTATAAACAAAAGTACAAAATGGTCACACAGCAGCATACTCTAACAGCTTTTAGCCTATCAAAG